ACTTGGAGGCAGTGGTCCGGGCAGAGATTGTGAAGCTCATGGATGCAGGGATCATCTTTGCTATATCTGATAGCAAGTGGGTCAGCCCCACTCAGGTGGTCCCGAAGAAAGGCGGGATGACTGTGGTCCCGAATGAGAAGAAGGAGTTGATCCCGATGCGGACCGTGACCGGCTGGAGAGTCTACATCGATTACCGGCGCCTGAACGACGCCACCAGGAAAGATCATTTTCCCCTACCTTTCATTGATCAGATGCTGGAGAGGTTGGCTGGCCATGAGTTCTATTGCTTCCTGGATGGCATGTCTGGTTACTTCTAGATTCCTATTGCACCGGAGGATCAGGCGAAGACCACATTCACTTGCCCCTTCGGCACTTTTGCTTACCGGAGGATTCCTTTTGGGCTGTGTAATGCACCGGCGACCTTCCAGAGATGCATGCTGGCGATCTTCGACGGACTGGTTGGAGAGATCATGGAAGTCTTCATGGATGATTTCTCGGTATATGGAGACTCCTTCACTCACTGTCTCCATAACCTGGAACTCGTTCTGAAGAGGTGCGAGGAGACTAATCTGGCACTCAGCTGGGAGAAGTGCCATTTCATGGTTCGTGAGGGTATTGTGCTCGGGCACAAGATCTCCAAGCAGGGAATCAAGGTGGATCGCGCGAAGATTGAGACGATCAGTCAGTTACCCCCTCCTGTTTCTGTGAAGGGGATTCGCAGCTTTCTGGGTCATGCAGGCTTTTACCGGCGCTTCATCAAAGATTTCTCGAAAATTGCCCTGCCTTTGACCAAGCTGCTGGAGAAGGATGCACCATTCCAGTTCACTCCCGAGTGCCAGCTGCATTTGAGACTCCGAAGGAGAAGCTTACCCATGCACCTATCATGGTGACTCCTGACTGGTCTCTTCCTTTTGAGCTGATGTGCGATGCGAGTGACTATGCAGTCGGAGCAGTTCTGGGTCAGAGACGCGAGAAGCACTTCCAGCCCATCTACTACGCGTCAAAGACCTTGAACGATGCACAGGAGAATTACACCACCACAGAGAAGGAGCTCCTTGCTGTGGTGTATGAATTTGACAAATTCTGACCCTATCTGGTGCTCTCCCATGTGGTGGTCTACACTGACCACTCGGCGATTCGCTACCTGATGAGCAAGGCTGATGCAAAGGCTAGGCTCATCCGATGGATCCTGCTGATGCAGGAGTTTGATATCGAGATCCGGGACAAGAAAGGAGCCGAGAATGTTGCTGCAGATCATCTTTCACGGTTGGAAGCCCCTCCGGTGGACAACTTCGAGGAAGAGATCGACGACTCCTTCCCGGGTGAGCGATTGCTGGCGATGACCCTGGTGGACAGCGTGGCCCCTTGGTATTCTGACTTTGCCAATTATCTGGTGGGCAAACATGAGCTTTGGAACATATAGAGTATTCTGCAGTGAAACATGAGGCCGAGTTATGTGTCCTACACCCTTAACTGGCATAAGAGACCCATCCGCAACTTGTAAATTAAGAGAGGGAGTAGAGGTATCAAGTGAACTAAAGGAATTGCGGGAGCTAGTCATATGATTATAATCAGCAGAGTCCACATGCCAAGAAGAAGAAGAAACTGTACCCGTAGCAAAACCCGAAGTAAGAGCAGTAGGAAGAGCTTTCTTCAACGCCTCCTGGACAAGACGTCAAACATTGGCCGAGGTGAGAGAAGAGGATGGTTAGACAGCAACCATCATGGTAGCAGGGACTGCCCCAGAACCAGGTCCACCATGGGAGCCATTGCCACGACCACGATCCCGACGAGCGAGAGTAGGACAGCCATCAATCACATGGCCCTCTTGTTTATAGTAATTGCACATATTTTTCTTCTTTGGACACTCGACAATCACATAACCATCCTGCTTACAGTAGTTACAAACATTCCTCTTATTGCAGTGATATTGGATTTGACCTTGTTCTTTGCAATAATGACAAATAATTTCACCCTTCGCAGTACGATGAAACTAAGGTTTCCCTCCCTGAACAACAAAGGCGGTGGGCGTATTACTAGCATGAATATCCAGCTTCGCCTGGCTACGCAGGCGTGTCTCCTCACGAAGCAACTCTCCCAGATCTCATCCGTTGTCTCAACATTGTGGTGCAAAAGTGACGCCCGAATCCCTTCAAATTCAGGACGTAAGTTCATCAAGAACCTCATGATACGAGTGCTAGTGCGCTCTCGAATGACTTCAGCCGAGACAACACTAGACAACACGGAACTAGTCAAGTGATCATGTTCTGTCCAGAGCATGACAACATTATGATAATATGTGTTCACATCAGAATCACCCTGAGTTAAGCAACCAAGATCACATTCGATATCAAACTTACGAGATGCACTCGGCTTGGAGTAAATATTATTGAGGTGCTGCCATATCTCAACAGCCGTATTAAAACCTCGCAAGCTCAAGGAGATATCGGGATCCATAGATCCAAGAAACGCACACATAACAGCTGCATTGGAGACATCCCAATCCTCGTGGGACTTGGCGGATGCATCCGCTGCTGGCGGCTTGGCTGAACCATTAAGAAAGGGCAGCAGGCGCCTCCCTTGAACATACAGGCGGAACTGAAAAACCCACATGGCAAAATTTTTGCCAGTAAAATGGACAGAGAAGGCATCATTGCGAGGAGCATCCATGGCTGATCACGAAGCAAACCCAGAAGCAAGCTGAACACGGAACCCAGCCGCAAGAACCAAAAGCAATAACCTGATGCAAGATGAAGATAGCGACAAGAACCCGCCGCAGCACACGAACAATAACAAGAGAAGAAGACCGAAATCCTGAAGCGGCACGAAAGCTAGGGCACGAAGAGAGAACGCAGGCAATAACCCAAACACGAACACAAACAGGAGCTCAGAGAAAAATAGCGCGAGGCTCTGATACCATGTCAAGAACTCGATCACACACAAAATCACAAGAACGCGAGACGCAAGATTTACGTGATTTCCCCAACTATGATCGTTGAGACTAGTCCACGGCACATGGCAGAGTTCACGTTTTATTACGTACGTAGTCATTATAGCTGAATTCGGCTATACAACATATATATACTTAGCCGAGCCGTTAACCCTAGATGGGTTAGTTACACTTAGGTACTCCGTAGTCCTAACTTCTAACAAGAGGAACCCCGATAACGGCGGTGTGCAGGGAATGGTGTAGCGCGATGATCGGTCCGAGATGAGGTCGCATCGTCTTGTGCAGCCGTCCGATGCTAGTCTGTTCTCCGCCGTTTGATCACCAGGTTCCCCTGGCTGAAGTAATGACGAAGATTGGAAGAATTCCAAAGAAAAAGACACAAATCAGAGCAACGAAAACCTAGTTTCTACCCAAGTTTCATACAGGAAAGAATGCAGAGGAAAATTAGCTCGAGAGCTTCAATAACTAGGGGTGAACAAATACACCCGGAAACCGACCCACCCGTCCAACTCGACCGAACCCACCCGTATTTATCGCTAAAACGAAGGTTTTGGGTTGGGCGAGGGGTTTCTTTTGTGCAACCCGCCTCTTTTGGGTTGGGTTTGGATTTTGGATTACACAACCCGTAGAACCCGACCCAACCAGTGTTCCACTATTAGTATGAGTTCGAATCTAAAAAATATTTATGTACTATATAGTCATATACTTATGAGAAAATTAAGATATTTCACCATGTTTTTCTCTCATGGTCTCCCTAATCTAATGCATTCTTCGACTTAAAGTTTAGACATAAATTGAATATAGTTATGATATCGTAATCCTTTTTCTTGTGTACAATTTTAATAGAATAACATATGATGGATGTGTTTGTTTATAACATTTTTAGCCTATTTCAACAAATATAGTGAAAAACAAGACATATGTTGAAGTAAATTACATTTTATTAAAATTTAAACAACATTTGTGAATTTTCATACCTTTCACCTTGGTTCATTCGTTTGAAATTTTAATTAGTTATAAAATATTTTTATGATGTAGAATAATTATATATTTTATGTTGGGTTGGGTTTTTACTTAAAAATATCGCCAAACCGTAGTGCATGGATCGGGTGATTAAAATGACTAAACCCGAACCACCCGACCCATGTACACCCCTATCAATAACAAAAGAAGATGACGGGACCGACCTTTGGTTGGAGTTCTTCTGGTTGGGGTTGACTTTTTTTGTTTAATTATTTTTTAATTTATTGTAATAATGAGGTGGAAATTATTAAAAATTAAATTTTATTATTTTATTATTATTTTAATTGCCACATCACTCATTTAACGGTCAACTATAAGTGTTGACCGCCACATTAGCAAAATTTAACGGAGACTAACGACCAGTGACCAAACTTGAATTGTTAACCTAATTTAAGTGACTACGGATGAAATAAATTAATTTTATTGGCAAATTTGAACTTGCTAAATAATTCTAGTGACCAAACTTGCAATTTAGCCATAAGTTTAATATACAAGTTACTTACAAGAAGGCTTTGTATGGGAAACAAAGAGCATTGGAGAAGTTGCATGGAAATTGGGAATAATCATACGCTCTAGCCAAATGTATAGGCTGTGCTCATTAACAGGATATCGCTGTATAGGCACTGTAGCATCGGATGCCGACGCTCACTGAAACCTAAAGTTGTAACCGCTGCTTCAAACATGTCAGCCAACTCCTCCATCCGGTCGGTGGACATCCCTCCATCCCGAACTCCATCACGTAAACCTAGCTCAGTGTACTCCATGTTATTGTACTAAAATTTAAATTTAAAATATCAGAGATTCTACATATCTCAAAACAATTAAAACACAAATATGAATTAATCAAAAAACTAACCACTGCGTTCATTGCAGCTCCTCTCCATGTGCCTGAACGTTTGGTAACATCTCGAAACCACTCTTGATGCTCCGAGTGGTAGGCTAAAGAGACGTCAGTGTAGCTCATACGCGCGATGAACTCATGTCGAAGGTTCCACAAATAAATCGACTCACTGGCTGTTTGTATCAACTACTGCCCACTTGATGGCCCATGTTGGCCCTGGCGAAGGAAAAACCTAATATCAGCCACGGGATGTGGCTGATGAGGCTCATCCTGCATCATGCCAAACTGTTCGAGCACGCAATCTGGATGGTGCCACATCGCCGATGAAAAGCAAATCAGTGGAACTACTGCTCGAAACATGTCAGACTGGATCACACTACCGCTGAGGTCCTGAGCTCTCTCAAAGTAAGGACGCCACTACACACAAAAAGTGGTCACATAATTACTCCTAAATCTAAAAAAAACCAATGAAAACTATTTTATAAAACAAAATGTTATACACTAACCACGAAGATCGTTTTCTCGTCAAACCACAACTTGTACTGGTAGAACTGATCACCATGCTGACAGGTCTGGGCCAGAAGCCATCAAACACCATGTGGGAATGCATCCTCAGTAATCTGCGCCCCTATCTCTATATATAGTGGTGCTATATGAGGAAATCGCTCCCACGCCCAGACCTGCAGTAAGGCGGACCATCCACCAAGGTCACCACCTAGTGAAGAGGATTGCGTCATTTGCAGCACTGACCTACCCATCTCACGGTACATGTAGGATAGAACAGATGCTCCCCAGGTGAATCTCCCAGCTCTCTGCCAATCCTCCACCCATAGTAGGTACTGTAGATGAACCGAACCTCCAGACCGATCGGGGAACAGTACACCTCCCATCACAGATAGAACATAAGTTCGTGCAAACTGCACTGTAGTCTATGGTGATGCATTTGGCGACAACTGATCGAATGTATCCCTGAGCCAAGCAATCATAATGACACCGCCAGAAAGATCAGTAGGAGCCCGTCCTAACAGTCGAAGACACGTCTCCGACCAGTCCTCGTCTGGTATGTCTACTCTGACGGCGTTCACAGTCGATCGCTGGACCGGTCAGTGTCGCAACGTCCTCTAATGTGATCGTCACCTCACCAAACGACATGTGGAAGGTCGATGACTCGGGTCGCCAACGCTCTACGAGCGCAGTAATCAAACTCGGATCAATAGTAATAGGGACCAATGGCAGAAACATAAACAAGCCCGCCTCAATGAGGTACGTCTGATAATGTGGATGGTACCTGACTAAATTGGTCGTACCTCGAATATGGTAAGGTCGATGACCAGCCTATAGTGCACAAAACTTATATTAATTCATTTTCATGCGTACTTCTAAATTCAGTTCACCTAGTAAAATATATCTAATCTAAACTTATTCTAATTTCAACATATTTCATGCGTAATTCTATTCTAATTTCAGTTCAGTTCACCTAATAAAAAAGCTATAGAAGTAGTTGAAAGACTTACCTCGTTTGCCCAAACTTAGTCAATAAGATGGTGGCCATGTCCCCATAGAAGTACCGGATCCACCGGAGCTGTATCAATTGTCGCAGGTGGTGATCTCATGGAATAACTGTCCATAAGCGTAGGAACTGAAGAAAAAAACAAATAATCAGAACATAAAAACTTAATTAAAAAAAAAACATCGCCCATGGCCCGAATCCGACCGTCGGCGAGAATCCAAACACCTCACCTCGTTAGCGTTCGACGCCGCCACGATCTCGACCTCGCCACCCTCTCCCCTTCCTCTGACGGCGATTGCTTCCTCGTCGTCGGACATTTTCCTCCCCAAATCTGCTGCTGCTGGCACGACCGAGGAAGAAGGAAGATGGAAGGTGGTAGAATCGCCAGGAGCTGAGGCTTGGCCGCCTGAGTCTTAGGCAGAGCTCGATGAGGCTGGGGCGAGGACGCCTTCTTTCCAAGCATGGCCGCTTGTAGTCGGACGGGATCGCTGCGGAGGAGAGTAGCGGTGGTTGTTTGTTTGGGGGAGGAAGGAGATGATATATAAGATTTTAGTGGCTGAGAGGAAACATAAAATGGGGTAAGAGCGTGTCCGTCTGAATCTCGGGTGGGCTCGCTTGTATTTTATTTTGCCACCGTGTCCGCCTGAGTCTCGAACGGGCTGGCTCCTATCCCTCTACAAAACACAATATGTATGTAAATAGTTTTTAAACCGACATATTGGTGGCAAAAAAAAAAATATTTAGAGAATTAAGTCCATTTATAGTGTTTCCTTTATGGGAATAATCTCAGTAATTTGGAAAAGAAGTATTGGTGGGGTTGACATTTTTTTAGATTTGAGATAGATAGTCCGTACGGGCGGAAGAATTTTGTGGAAGACAATCATTGAAGACAGTGGGTTGATCCCTACCGCAATCACATTCTCCTGCAGTTGCATTGTCGATGAAATCTTTGAAAGACAGTTTTGTAGACACAAGATTCATTTTATTCTTAACATGCATTTTTGGAAGACTATCTTATGTCGATTTGTATACTACGGCTGTTTTCTTGTTTATTTGTCCTCTAGGTGGCGACTTAATAATTAAGGTGACATACTTTGGCTTGGGAAAATTGACACTACAAGAAAATTGACTTTTAGCGGCTAAATAAGGGTGACAAATATTATAAAAGGAATTTTACAATGCTATATAGCATTGGTGCTATACGTTTTGTTTTATAATACAATTTGAAGTTGTATCTTTAACATTATGGTATAATTTCAGATAATACTTAATTATACTTTTTTGTATAAATTCTTTTGTGATACAACTTGAACTTGTACCATAACATAAGGGTACAAATTCATTATAAATTTAGGTTATTGTACAATTTCAAGTTATATGTTAAGTACCAATACTTTATATATAGCATAATAGAATCGTCCATATTATAAATGTCTTTAAAAGTATCCTTTAGCAACAAATATGTAAACTTCCCTTAAAATTTAAATAAATTGAAATCACGTATATAATGACGCAAAATATTTCTTTAACCAAAAACTAGAAGAATACATAGTAGCATGAGCAAGTAATTATAGTTTCTGCTTGTAACTGGTTTCACAAACCCGGAAACTTATTGATGCAGATAACTATAGAAAGTAGACCCTAAACACAACCACAGACAATAACAACAAGAGAAAGGATAGGAGAAAAATACAAGAAAGAAATATACAAAGCTAATTAACAGATCAATATGAATAGGAGGAGAGGAGCATACACACATCTACACGTATACAAAGATATACAGAGTGAAGTTAGCGAATCATCTTGTACCAAATGGAGCAATCAGCGAGCTCAATCCTAGCGTCATGAGTGTGACCACAATTGTCATTGAGTTTGTTCTTGGCAGTAACCAGACATGACCAACAATCCAGTTTCCAAAGCTGCCTATCACAAGTGGCACCACCAATAACCGAGCCGTTGTCGCGATTGGGGTAGCTGTGGACGTAACTATAATCGTTGTAATTCTCATGTTTCACATTTTTCGTCTCGTCCACCAAAATGTCGATGAGACGTTCTACTCCTTTGTTGTACGCTATATCATCTGATTTGCCAACGCAATCTGGTCCCCTGATAATGCTCTTCACTGGAAGTCTTGCGTCAACAACGAAGCTCAACATACTGAGAAGCAGAAAAGCTGTCATTGCCAACTTTGACCTTGAATCCATTTTTCTTCACTCTCTGTTGAAGCTCTAGATGTACAATCTCCTCCTCCTCCCGAAGTGACCCTATTAGCTTCTTTGGTATGGTGTGTTTAGGGTGAGAAATTAAAGCAGCCAACTCACTCCTTTTATAGCTCTTGTTGATCCTCAATTGATCCTCCCAAGCCAAAGGAAAAATAAAGAAGAAAACAACCATGGTACAAATCGACACCATTAGTTTGTCTTGACAAAAATGCTTAAATGCATGTTAAAAAAATGAATATTGTGTCGACAAAACTGTCTTCAAAGATCTCATCGACCTGTGCAAACAAGACATACAATACGACAACAGGAGAATGCAATTGCGGGAGGGATCATCCCACTGTATGTAGCATAGTGTCCCTAATTAATTCAGCGTTGATGATTCATACAATTCTGCCGCTCGTACGGACTATCTATCTAAATCCTAAAATGGCCAACCACAAAAAATACTTCTTTTCCAACATATTGATATTATTTGGAGTTTTGGGCAAGGAAACACAAAATGGAACTGTTTTATTTTTATTGTTTACATATGAAAAATTGAGACGTTAGTTTTTGCAGTTTAGCTCTTACCGATTATATAAAGGGATTATGCATGGAATTATTCAGGAGAACCATCACTATCCAGCTCCTCTTTAACTTGTAGATACAATTGAACGACTTATATACAAGACATAGGGATTTTTATTCTAAGTTTGTCTCTGTTTACACTTAAAAATAATTTTGTCTTAAAATCATATTATCACAACGTCGAGAGATCAACGATGTTGTGGGCTAAACAGATTCGTGATGATCGACGGCGCCGTAAGTTCTAGGACATTGCAATATCAACGACCTTGCAAATTCTATAGTTTTATTCCCGAATCAGTGATGTGCAATGGCGAATTGCAATCATCTCTTTTCTTTCATTATTTTTTATTTTCAAATAGAAAGTTTAAAAAGAAAGAATAATTAGAGTTTGGCATAGGTGTCAAACAGGCTGAATTTCAAGTTTTGGCCCGTTTTGATCAAAAACAATATTGTTTCACAAGGTAACAGGTACTTGATTTTGGTTAATAAGGCTGATTTTTGATTCGTTGCATCATTTATGTCTCTTTCCGACTAAAATTCACTATTTTTATCACGTGTTTCCAAAAAAAAAAACTACACAACAATAAGCTATACACCCCATTACAATATCAAATTTCATACCTCACCTTCCTCCGGCCAAATAACCGGGGCCCACGCTAGTATAAATAGAGAGAAGTAATTTATGGGCTAAAGCGTGGCTCGATTGGTAGGGCTGGCTATTTGGACCGGGACCGGATGAAAAACCGGAAACCGGACCGTATAACCCGGACCGAGATCGGACCGGGACCGGATAGTAAACAATCCAATCCAATCTTTGGGCTTAGATTTGAGGTAAAAAACCGGATAAAGACCGGATAAGAGAGCTCAACACCCAAAACTTAAGGGTAATTTGCATAAACGGTCACAAACCTTTACACTTAGTACAAAACTTAACCAACTCCTCACCCTTTTAGGCCTTAGGCCACTCAAATTCCCACAATCTCAATATAAAATCAAGACCGAATTGGGACCGGACCGGGTCAAGACCGGACCAGATCAAGACCGGACTGTATCCAATCCAATCTTCGGTCCTTATATTCTCAAAAAAACCGGACTGGACCGGATCAATTTGGGCCAATTTAACCGGACCGGACCGTATAGCCACCCCTATCGATTGGTACTCCAATCAGCCAAGTCACGCAAAATAGCACAATTACTCACTCACAGCCCCAATCAGTCAGATAAGGCCAAACATGTACCTAGATCTAGATAGGTCGTGCTCAATAACTTTACCTATGAGATAATTTCCCACACCAAAAGCTACTGAACCACAAGGTCACGTTCTAGTTTGGCTCGTCTGATTGATGCTCGAACATTTTCAAGTGGTTACCAGCCTTGGAACCGTTTAAAGGTAGGGGTGGGTATTCGGTTGGTTCGGTTTTGAGCGAATCGAAATTATGCATATCGGGTTCCCGAAGTCTACCAAATCTCAAATCGAATTCGAATCGAATTATAATTTGATTCGGTTGGTATAAACTGAATTATAATCCGGTTAGGTTTGGAATTTAACACAAAATTGAATTTGTGAGGCTACTTGTATCTTCTCCCTTTT